AAGACTATACTGCTTAGATGTGCTTCCCACAAAGTAAAATAGATATATGCCATTATTCAAATGTTATTGCTGGTCTGAATTTATTAGATGGAGACAGTTTATGAAAGAATGATTGATCATGACTTGTTAGAAACCAAGTTCATACTTGTAATCAATCCTCTTTCAAAATGTATTCAGGAATAATAGGATTTCCATCAGTAATTAAGCCACTAATTCTATAAAATCCTCTATCTTCTCATTTCTTGTATTGGATACATTTATCCTCACGCTTTAAAAGTTCAAGGAATGAGAGAACAGAATGATAAGGAGCCAAACATAATCTGCATTTGTACTAATTTGTAGTAGATGTCAATTTCTGAATGTTGGGAAGGAATGGAATTACCTGACAGAAGTCCAGGATTACCTCAATTTCTACCCATTGAATTTTATTTGAATGCCATGTGGTATGAATTAATAATTGTAGTTGAAAGTTTCCAAACTAATATAGTATTTCAAATTTGGTGTATTCAAAACTTCCTCATGTTTTTGTTTATAGGGTGTGGGTTGCCTACTCTTTAGTTTTTCTGTAGCTATGAGTGAAGAAGTAGTAATTAGCCATTCATGATTTTTTTTTAAGAATAATCTTTCTAAATGCAGCTCTGCTATTAAACAATGATAATGAAATGTGTTGCCTTGACATACATTCCATCTTAATCTTGATAGACCTAACCTCTCTGATCTCCATCCCCAAATCTCAAGCCACCTGCTTATTCTACCCTTTCTGTACTGCAGATGGGGAGGCATGAAGTAACCAATGGGGGAAATGTTGGGTTATGGCATTCTTATTAGCTACCCTGGGACAATGATCTTGATCAGGATTGCTGAAAGGAAGGGTTTAACTTTCCTCCATCCCACTCCAGTGACCACAAGGCAGCAAAAAGGAAGCAGCAATCTTGATTGGGGCAGGTAAGAGACTAATGGTTTCCCCAATCTGAGCATCTCATTCTCTAGTGCATTTTTCTTTTTCCAGGCAGTTAAATTATTATTTTCTGTGGTGGGAGATATTTTCTCCCTGGGGTAAAGAGAAGGTTGTTGTCCAACAAAGCATGGAAAAACTGTGTGGGTATGAGTCCAGTATATAGAGATCTCTCCCTTGGCAACTCTTTCCTTAATTTATTTTACTGTTGATTTTTGAAACTATACAGTGACTAAACAAAGACTAAAAAGTGTATGAATTGTATGTATTTTGTGTTATTCTGTTGTACAAAATGAGGAGGGAACTGGTGATAGAGTTAGCAGTTCTCCTCTCCAAGCTGGGTGCTAGGATTGGGGGAAGAGGCAACGTCCTTCTTGGGAGAGAATGCACTCAAAGCAACAGAAGGGAGCATCTGTTCTGATTTACTTAGGTGTCAACTGGGTCCAGCATTGTAGCTCCCTCCAGGGATACAGTTATCTTGATGTTTCTAAAGTACTGTATTACTGTACTCCTTCACAGTTAGCTTCTGGAGATGAGAAGGTTTAAACCTATCTTCACTGAATTCCAGCATACATCTTCATCTCTAAATCCCTCAGCTGAGTGGTGCTGGGGAAAGTGCCCATCAGCCATGCAGGAGCAAAAGTGTCTTGTGCCATCTTTGCTTGTAATCAATCCTCTTTCAAAATGTATTCAGGAATAACAGGATTTCCATCAATAATTAAGTCACCAATTCTATAAAATCCTCTATCATCTTATTTCTTGTATTTGATAAATTTATCCTCACGCTTTAAAAGATCAAGGAATGAGAGAACAGAATGGTAAGGAGCCATATATATTTCTTATGCTCCAGCTGACCAACCAATTGCCTGTAAGCCTGCCAGAAGCATTGTAGAGATGGGAGGAAAGCAGACAAGTAGAACTATCACTGTAGGGTATGGGAGCATAATTGGGACAAAGTATGACAAGCAAGGAAAAAATTCCTATGTACCTCCTTATCATCACAATTCAGTAATGGAATTCAGGGGCTTGGACACAGGGAAGTTGTGCTCAAGAATTTCAGGAACTAGATTAAGCTACAGGTTGATCATTGTAGTCCAACCAGGAAAATGAACTTGATATAAAACTGCAGATAAAAGGAAAACGTTCCTTGATTCTCAATGTTTGCCATTAAGTTCCATGGGATTAGAACAGGTTGAAACACAGCTGAGAAGGCCCCTTCCTTACAGGCATTAGAATCATCAGGGTAAGGTACTGGTTTAGCTCCCATCCCTGTATTGTCCAAAATTAGCCACTTTCCTTTCCTCCCCTCCCTAGAAGTGAACGGCCACCATTGATTCAGACAGAAAAAAAATGTTCATACTGCACTTGAAGTCATTGCTTTCAGTGCAGCAAAAGCTATGTATTTGAGAAAACCTGGAGGTTGTTCCTATTTTCAGAAAGGCAGAAAAGAGGTCTAGGGAACTATAGAGGGTCAATCTGACCGTCTGGGAAGATTCTACAGCAAATCAGCAAGAGATTAATTTATAAGTACTTTGAAAGCAATGCAAGGTTCCCAGAAGTCAGCCTGAATGGTAAAGAACATGTTTTCCCAGATTAAATTTATTTCTTTTTTGATTGGGTAACTTGCTTAGTAATTGTGGTGATGCTATAGATTAAATGTATCTTGAGCTTAAAAACCATTTGGCAAAATATTCTATGACATTTTGATGAGCAAGTTGGTTAAGAATGGGCTGGAAGGCATAAGAAGTGGATATATTGTTGGCTTAAAAATCATACTCAAAGAACACTTATTAACGTTTCCTCATCAAACTTCATAGTGGGGTGTCACAGGGTTCAGTCCTGGACCCTCTGTTCTTTAGTATTTTTATTAGTGATTTGAAAGAAGTGGAGGAAATGCTTATCAAATTTGCACATAACACAAAATTAAGTGGGATATTCTAAGAGTACAGAAATAACAATTTCATGATAGAGAAACGGGCTGAGAAAAACAGAATGAAATTGGGTAGATACGAGTGCAAAATTCTGCATGCAGGAAATAAATATAAACAAATGTGTATGTTAAGGATGCTATTGCCTAGCTTTGTAATAGCACTTGTGAAAAAGATCTTGGAATAGTAGTTAGGTCAGCAATGTGGTGTGACAACAAAAAAATCATATGCAATTTCAGGCTTCTGCAAGAAAAGTATATCTTCTAAATCCAAAGAAATAATAGTTTCATTTTATTGCATTAGTCTCATCTCATCTCAGATCCTATGCTGGGCACTGCACTTGAAGAAGCACTCAAGCTGGAACAGGTTCCCAGAACAATGCTGAGGATAATCAGGGAGCTAGAAACTAAATCATATAAAGAAAAATTGAAGGAATTAGGAATGCTTAGCTTTGAGAAGAAAAGATCTGGGAGTATGAGGTTATGCAGAAGAAAGTCATGACCTATTTTGTGTCATCCTAGAGTACAGGACTTGGAATAATAGATTTAAGTTACAGGAAGGTACATTCAGATTGAATGTTAGGGAAAAACTTTATAACAAAAAGCGTTGGCCAGTAGAACTCATCAGCCAGGGAGATGCTTCCAAACAGGCTATAGATTGCATGTTCTGGATACTTTAATTTGGATTCCTGCATTGTGCGAGGGATTAATATTCAATGTCTGAAAAGGCCTTTTCCAGTTCTATAAATCCTACAGATAGATAGATATTTGTGCACTGCATTCTAACTCACTGCTGGATTCTTGCAATATTCAGGTCTTCACATGACTCCTACCTGTCATTTTGCTGCTCTTACTAGTTCTTTTGTGTAGATAGCACAGTCTTTCCTGGGTGACACTTCTCAGAGCACACATAATCCTCTGAAGTCTTCAAAGAGGAGAGAAACGAAGATTAAAGAATGTGTTTTTATTTCATTCACACACCCACATGCAGTAAATTAAGAGGGCTAGAAATGGTCAGAATTGGCTCTCTTTCTTGTTCCTCATGCAGTATTATGTGAACACTTTTTGTGATTTTAAAAGCATTTCTACACAACTCCTTTCTGCAGAACTCAGTGTTCTTAAGAGCTAATCTGCTTTTTTCTGCATATTTTGGCATGAACATTAATCCTTCTACATCTGATTAGTTATGTTGTCGCAATCCTCCTCTTACGTTCCTAATTTTAGCTGGCTAGAGAATTAGGTCAATTTAAGCTATTGGAAAGGCTTGGTTAGTGGATCCTGATGCTAAGATGTTACAGCACCTCTCTTGTTTTCAAGTTATGCACAGTGATCCTGCAACTCGGTTTAATTTCTTCTATAAGCAGAGATAAATATCAGCGCGCAGTCATCTCTTCGGAATTAGAAATGAGGCAGAAGAAAGGAAAGCTGTAATCCCAATACTAAATATTTGTGTTCAGAGCTCTGTATACGGTATGCTTCTGTAGGAAGACTGCAAAGGAATCAGATGTGATATTTGACCCAGCATACAGCTGAAAATCTCAGTTTTTATTTTAATAGGCTGAAACAACTTTCTGATTTTATCATCCTTGCAGCGTTATACTTGAAAATACATCATAATGAATACCTGTTGAATTCCTAGTGGCCAAAAGTAGTAAATCATTTACTTATTTAATCAATTTATATACTATATCCTATATCAATAAATAACTTTGGCGTCTCAACACATTGCACGTTCCCATATTTCTCCCTATTGCAAACCAATGGGAACTAAGTTCTGTGAAGTACGCACTAAATAGTACTGATGCAGAATAAAGCATGCAAGTTAAGAGGAAATATTACAAATCCATTTTGATTTATATGGGTTTCAGAATTTGAGTTGCTTTATTGCAAAAGTACTGAATACAGAATACTCACAGCCATAGTTTATATACTGTATAATAATTTCATATGAGAAATGTAAATCACCCTTTCCCCAACCTAGTGCCTTTCAATCATTCCTAGCCTGGTTGTGGATGATGAGAATTGTTATCCAAACACATTTGGAAGGCAGCAGATTAGATATGATTGATTTAAAATAGTGATCTTGTCCTACAGTGGATTTGTTGTCAAAAATCTTGAAAAGTCTCCTGTGAAGCCCTATTATTTGTTTTGTTGGACTAACATAATACCTCGCGTATTTTCAAATGATGTTCCTTTACTATACAGGTAATTGCTCAGCATCAAAATCTTCTGATTGCTAAACCCAACAATACCATCAACTACACTTTGCTAAGCAATGACAATGCATTTCTGAGCTACCATCCATATTACTTCACCCAGAGGACCCTTACGGCACGCTTTCAGATGAATAACACAAAGCCCCCACACGTCCAGATGGTGAGGAAGCCGGTGCTGACAGTAATGGGCTTACTGGCTCTTCTAGGTACAAAAAACACTTATTCTGATAACTGCTAATCCCACTTAACTGTTCCAGGAAATGAAGTATCTTGTATTTGATAATGAAAGAAGAAGTATATCATGTTGGCCAGCTGATGTTAATTCAACTGAACTGGGAAATAAGTCAATCATAATGTCATGATTCCTTTAAACCTCATACCTGTTACCACCCCCAATGTACTGGGGAAAAACACAGTGGCAGAAGTTGTGGGGTAGTAAGTGATAGGAACCCACCCCCCCTTCCAACAGCAAATAGCTTAGAGATAGTTGAAAAGGAAGGGGATATGGCACAGTCTTGGGAAGAACAGCTTTTAACAAACAGAAGAGGAACCAATTCAGCAAGATCAGATGTCTTCAACTAAATATTTATCTGTTATTTCAAAACTTCAGCTCTTCTTATACTCACATGGAATTCGAATCTTTTGGATGAAATGTTCTATCATGGAGCTACAGTTCGTGTGGCCCACTTCTGGAACTGTGATAACATGCTTTAAATGCTTCTCTGTAAGTTTTCATTTCAAGTCCTTTTTTTTTGGTTCAAGGTTTTCTCCCTCTTGTGCAGGGGAAGAGCAAATTTCTGCCAACATTTCCAGTCACAAATCAGAAGACTGTAATGCTTTGGGAATACTAGCCAGCTTGCACAAACCTTCAGGACTACAATTGTCAGACAGTTGGCAAGCCTCAATACTGATCTATTCAAGCAACGATAACAAGACATCCTCAAACATCAGCACTGTGATTCTGAATGTAGCCAATTATCCTAAACACAGAGGTAAAATTTTGCTATGGCTTCTTGAAGGGTTGTCCATCAGAAACATGAGATTTACCTAATGCCCACCAGAAACATGAGATTTACTGTACATTGAAGTTAGGGGAAGTAGGTTTCATGCACTATTAAACAAATGCAAGAGATGTCCAGTCTGAGTTCTCACAGGGCAACGTACGGTTCCTAACAGCTACAGCATAACACACACATTGCCTCTTCTTAAAGTGATCACTAAATATTTATTTTTAAATTAGTATTTAAAGAAGAATCCATTCTGAGATTTGGCTGTTACATCGCCTTCATCAGAACAGTTTACTGAGGATCGTACATCAGTGAAGCTGATTTTCAATTTTGTTTTTCTTTTCCTTTCCCTGTCCCATTTCAAGATGCAAAACCTTTTCAACAGCCTACAGGATGAAACAATGCCAGCTTGGGTTTTTCAGAATCCTGATGACCTACTTCTCTGTTTCTTTCTAAATCTACTCTGTCCAAGATTTGAGGCCCAAAACTCATCTTTTCAATTCATTAAATAACAGGCTGTGAACCAGAACACTATGTTTGTAAATGACCATCTTTGATTTGAAGTTTCGCTAAAGCCATAAGCTATTACGTTTTCTTTGTCTTCCCAAAGAACTGGTGTATGTAACGTACTACATGGATAACAACCTAACCAACCCATATTTGAAATGGAAGAAAATGGGAATGCCGGACTTTCCCTCTCAGATGCAATTGGAGCAAATAAGAGATGCTGAGGTATTGTGCATTTGATGTGAAATCAAACCCAGTGCATGCTTATTCAAGAGCAAGTATTTCTGAATTTAGTGAGTTTCTTCCTAAGTACATTTTGTAGCCCCATATCTCTGTAACATGAACATTTACTTCAAAATAATCACCATTGCGTTATGTAAGTTTATGGTATAAACCTGAAAGTAAAGAGTGTTTCTTTTTTATTGATGTACAGACTGTTCTACAAACCTTTCTGCTTAAGTTAGCTTTCCCTAACTTCATCCTTCAGATGTGTTGGATTTCAACTCCCATAATTCTCAGCCATGGTTGGAGAAAGCTAACGGAAAATTTAAAAAGGAAGAAAAACAAGCAAGCAAACTTCGGCATTAAAACATCCAGATAAGAATAAACATAGTAAAGTTTCTCTACAGCTTTGAGGTGGTATGTTGCTGTTAAGTGAACAGATGATAGGATAAAATCCTAAGGATTTTAGCTCAGCCTTACAAGAAGGTCCCTCACATCTCCCCAACAAAAGAGTGAGGGGGTAAAAGGCATTTTCATTTCTTCTCTCCATTGGTTTTAAGTTTGACCTTCACAACAAAGCTCAGACTCGCATATTTTCTACAGACTCTTTTGAGCTGTCTTATACTGGTCCCTTATTTCAAATAGCTTGTCCTCCTCCTTTGCTGAAGGTAGGTACTGCTCTGCTGGATTAGACCCAGACTGAACCCATCCAGCATTCTCTTTTTAACAGCAGACCCTTGAACGTTTCTGAGAGCTCATAAGCAGAGCTTGACAGAGTGGCTGGACTGGGTATTCAGAGGCAGACTGCTCCAGTAAAAGGAGGTTCCATTGACTCCTGGTTGTTCAAAACAAACTACCTACCAGCCTTTATTAGGTTCTTTTCATGTTTTTGTAAGGTAGAAGAGGAACAAAACTTTCCCTCTGTCTGTTCTCTCCATAGTGTTCATAACAGTGTATGCCTCTGTCATGCTTTTTCAATGAATCCTAAACATTAGAGAGTACGCCCCACTGGACTGAGACAGATTTACTTCTAAATGTATTTAGGGTTGCACTTATTTGTTGAAAAAAAAATACTTCAAATTCTACCTTTCCTTGACAAGAACAATAAAACATCTGAACCTCCAGATCTCTTCATGTTCGTAGCTCTTTTGAACATTCTGCTTTTCATGGCAATAGAGCTCCCTTGAACCTCCATCTTCATTAACTTCACCTGGTATAATGGCAGTTTCTTTATTCTCTAGACGTGAATAGATATGTATATTCATTCCTTCTCCCCACGCAATTGAAGGAGTTCAAATTCTGAAGAGAGGTGGTGGCAGAGTCTCGCAAACAAGAATTGTCATCACTTTCTTCAAATTACATTTCCCAGGATGCTTTGTGGGGAGAGTCAAAATGGCATAAAGCTAATAAATGTCCATAACATTACTAGCACCACAGAATGATCCCTAAATGAGGGCACCCCCTTCCCCCAGTCGACTTACCTGTCCTCTGTGTCTCTTTTATCTTGTTCTGTAGAGATAAATAAAGGAGTTGTCCCAATTTGATTCATCCCTTTTATGCTAGGCAGATGCGTGCTCCTTGTGGGCCAGCTTTTCCATAGATCTGACTTTATGGAAGGGGGCATATAAATATTTATGGTAAGAGATATCTTAACAAACAAAGCCAGAAGGAATGCTTTCCTTTTGGTTTTATTTTTGATCTTTGCCCCAGGCTCTTCTGTTAGGACATGCTTGAGCACTAGGGAATCTGAGCTCCACCTTTTTCCCCTTGAAACTGCTCAGCAGTTAAATGCAGACTGGGCTGTTTTTAAAAACAAAAAAGGCATTGCAGACTATCTTAGCAAAACACACAGAGAATTGCTGGAGAGAATCGGAGATCAGAAGTGTTTGCTTCAGCTTCCCCCACCTATTGCGAACAGTATTCCCTCTTGGGAGTCATGTGCCAACTAGTGGATCAATCTGAAACAAACAAGGAATGGGATCTGAGCAAGAAATAGATGGGGTCTCCCATCTGTATTTCTCCATATTTCTCTTTATGTCTCCCACATCCTCTCCACTAACTATACACATAGGTGGCAGGAAGCAGGTCCAGTTGGCAATGCCCCCTCTCCACTTATCCTTTGAATGTGCCTTTTCCATCATAGTGCCTGCCCTCTGGGATGACCTTCCCACATCTGTGATACATGGCTGGTCCCATCCCTGCTAGCTTCTAGAAAGTTTCTAAAAACCTGATTTTTTCCTTGGCCACTAGGGCCAAGTTGATTGGAGTACCTGCCTGAAAAGATGTAATATAAATTTGGGTTCCTGGTGTATTGTGTACATGTTGCTAGTTGATTATATGCTACCCAGAGTCATAATTGTTCAAGTTGGGCAGCCATATACATTTCTTGAATATATAAATAAATGAAACTGGAGGGCATTACTTGTCTGTTACAGTCACACCTCACCTTTCTTCCAGGTGGTGTGCATGACTCTCCCTCTCCTTTTTCCTTACACCACAATCCTGAGAGGCAGGTTGGGCTGAAAGAGAGTGAATGGCACAGAGTCACCCAGGGACCTTCTATGGTTGAAGAGAGATCTGCAGTTCTTTCAATCAGCCGCACCTCATCCTGGGATTGCATCCCCTGAAGCACTTTTTAGGCCTGGTGAGCATATACAGTCGTGTGAAAAAGAAAGTACACCCTCTTTGAGTTCTATGGTTTTACATATCAGGACATAATAAAAATCATCTGGTCCTTAGAAGTTGTCAAAACTGAGGTAAATACAACCTCAGATGAACTACAACACGTGACATATTAGACCTTGTCGTCATTTATTTTACAAAAAGAAAGCCAAAATGGAGAAGCCATGTGTGAAAAACTAAGTACAGTGGTACCTCTACTTACGAACTTAATCCGTTCCATGACTCTGA